TCCTAGTTTTCTGAATTACCTCAACGTTTCTTTTTGTCACCGGATCAGGCCACGTTTTCATTCCTTGCAAATCTTATCTCTATTAGTAGCCTTTTCCGCCATTTTACTTATCTCATCTTTTTTGAAAAAAGCATTTTCCAGGAAAACATTTGCGTTCCTGATGTAATTCACAACAATCACTTTTCGTTTTTTGTTCTATATGGCTTCTTGAATGTATTTAGGAACATTGAAGAGCTCAATTTCCAAATTACGCAGAGACTCGAGAAGTTTTTGTACTTTCCGGCCTAATTTTTGATTTAATTTCACAAACTGTTACGAAGTGTTTTTACAGTTAAAGAGAGGGACGAATCAAACGTTAATTCAAAACAAAAATTATACAAAACGATATTAAAGCACTGAAACACAAATGCAACAACTTCTACCACCTCGACAAGGCCAAACTTCTGAGCTTAAGACCTGTACACCTCGGCTAGCTTCTACTGCAATTTGACCAAGATGAGAGTGCGTTGCTTTATTTTTCCTCTTAGTCTTAGCAACAAGTGTTTTGAGTGTTTCGCCGTATCTGAGAATGATCCGGAAAGTTTTGATCTCTAATTTATTGGGCTGGTGTAAAGCAAAGTACTGTTTGCGCAAACGCTTATCCTCAGCGTTTCGATATGAAGTGATCGAATATGCTGATGGTCAGAGTACCTGAATTGTTTAATTGCGCACAAAAACTTTCTCAGTTCCTCTGTGTTGACAATACATGATGGCAATAAAATAAGTTCGTTAGCGTGTTAGGATGGCTACAAGTTTATCTTCGGACAAAAGGTTGAAGTTATTGCTGCGATGCCTACTAATTAGGTTAGTTATGAAGTCGTGATAAATCACGATATTCGAGTGATGGTATAAAAATGACTCAAAATAGTGATGTACAGTTCTACGGGGGTTGACAGCGTTCGGGTTAGGACTATGACTGGGTATGGCTATGTAAGTATTAATTGATTACGGAGTGACGCGGGTAGTTTTTCTAGAGCGTGATGCAACGAGCTTGCAGCGATAACAAAAACATTAATGGTTTTATACAAAGCAAACGGAGGCGGCGGGTTTATTTACCTTACAAAAGTTTCGGGTAGACTTAGCGGCCGTCATATAAATTAAGTCAAAAAATTTTTAACCACTCGGAAAAAAACATGAGGTCGCCGGAGCAAAAACTAATTTATACGGTTAGATTTTTTTGATATAGATTAGACTAAAATTTTCAAGCGTTCCGGTTGAGGCCGTTACGTGTTGTTAGAAAGTCCATTTTTGAATTTAATTTCAGTTTTTGATAACGGGACGTTTACCAGATTCGAACAAGCTGGTTCCAAAACCTTCGCCCAAAATTCTACAAAAACTCTAACACTTGCTTTTGTACTAGGTCCGAAATTTTGGCCCAGAATTTTCAGAAAAAAATTGTCAGTTTTTGACCGTGTTTGCCACGCCAGCAGCACTAACATTTATCGAACAATTAGTTAGAGCATGGATTCAAAATTTTTTTGCACAAATAATAGCTTAGCACATTGGTTAAAATCGAGAACAAAATCTTCTAAAGTTTAAGAACGCAAAAACTGAGTTTGGGTGTTTCTGACAGTTTTCTGTGTTTTAGTACGCAATGGCATTGCTCTCTGACTCGCTCTCACACACTGGGTAGTCGACCCAATATACAAGGTAGTCGTCCCATCACATAGGTTACCGCAACACACAGGGTAGCAGCCCCAACACACAGGGTGGTCGCCCCAACACACAGGTTACCGCAACACACAGGGTAGTAGCCCCAAACACACGGGTCGCCGTCCCAACACACGCGGGGTATCACAGGATGGCAGGGCATCACACGCAGCCCCAACACACGCAGGTTATCACACAAATTCATTTTTTCCAGTATCAGTCTCAAAAATTTAGTGTTGTGTTGGTCCACAGCACTCGGGGACCCCTCTGGGGCCGCCCTTCCGAGATGAGATCCCTCTGATTGCTAATAACGAACGGAACGAGTGAATGTTTCTTATATAAAACTAAGAGGGAGTGGATTGGGGCTGTTAGAGGTAGTTGAAGTGCATGAGTAAGAGGACGTTTGGCAGACTGAGTATGATGGGTCCGTAGCCGGGAGAGTAGTCGTAGAGTTCGCAAAGGGGCTGCCACCAGTTTGTAGTTACGGGGCACAAAAACGAGTGCCTTCTGCGGGATCTGCACCAGGTACAGGAGCTCATGCTCCTTGGGTCTGGTGATATGAGCTGGAATGAAGGGGTACTGAGGGGGTTCGAAGTTGGGACTCCGCCACTGGGACAACAACTGCTGGATCACCCAATTGGAGAGAGGAGGCAGGGAAGAACTATGCTTTGCTAATCCCGGGTCGCGGCATCAAAATTGTGCTGATGAAAAGTTGGGGATAAGCGTAACAATGTATTTCCGAATAACTATCACATCTAAATCGGGGAACTTCCAAAATCTAGCCTTTAAACGGCTCGAAAGGCAAAAAGTTTACCTTTGGACAATGTTTTTTAACTCTTTTTCACAGCACTAAATTTTTGAGCGTCTGATAACGTTCACATTATGGCGAAACACGGTTTTGACAGACTATAACCTGTCAATCAAGGTCGGCCAAGGCCGTTTTATGAACTAATTTCAATAGCTAAATAAAACAGAAAAAGTTTTTTGGGGGGTTCGAACCTGGTTACCGAACGTTGATGTATGTCCCGTCAAGTTCGACGCATATTTGAGTTTTAGAAAGGAAATGACCGAGCCAGTACTCGAACCTGCACCGAACCCACCGAAATGCACTGTGTATACGCCCGGCTACTGACCTTTTATTATATGCAACTATGATTCAAACTTGTTCTTTATTTACTATTAGCTCAGCAAAATCCTCACCCGCCGAGGAGATGAGAACCAGAGCAAGTTTAACGAATGATCTTACTAATTGGCCCGATAGGGTCTTAACGGTTCTCGAGCGAGCGACGTTATCTTGGCCTTAGTGCAAAGCAGTTACTTGACCTAAAGGGTAGTGCCCACGAGGGCTGCTGGGATTGACAATCCAGACGAGATCACCAAGTTGTAAATCACGCTTCGAATCGGCATTCTATTCTGAGCATTTGTTCAAGGAGGGGACATACTCCTTCAGCAAACGCTGCCAAATAGCTTTTGCAAAGGCTTGTGCTCTCACATAGCGCTTTCGTCGGTCGAAATTTTCACATAGCGTTTTCGATGGTCCAAACTCTCACATAGCGCTTTCGTTGGGCGACGGAAAGCTAACAGAGTGCTGACCCAAGAGAAAATGGTTAAGCGTTAACGCTTCCAGTTCAGTTTAATTAGGACCAACAGGCTTTAATGGATGGGCATTTAATGATTGCTCCACTAAAAAAAACTGGTCGACAATATCTCAACCATTAACTTGTGAGTTCCAATGATTGCATAGAAAACGCGTTTGCGACTGCGCACTAGTCTTTCTCAAGATCCACCATGATGCGGCGCGCCAGGAGGATTTTTTTCCATTTATTTTCCTTTTGAATTAACAATACGGGAGCCTGCCTGTTCCAGCTTTGTACGCAAAGCAGAAGCTCTTTCTCAGCTCCATCTAAATTGGTACCGTTGTCTGACCACACCACACTTGGCGCACTATGGCGGGCGATAAATTTTTCAATCTTTAAGGCACAGGAGCCGGTGTCCACAGACAGACCAGTTTCGATGTGTACGGCACGGGTATTCATGCAGGTTAACAGAAAAGCCCATCTTTTCTCAATACTGCGGTGAACAGTCATGTAAAATGGACCAAAATAATCCACAACACAGTATTGAGAGACCGATGGCGGTAACCAATCCGTTCGACACGGATGTCTGCCAGCATGCTTTGGGTTTTCTGCAAACAAAACAACATCTTTCATCTCGCAGACCCAACACCACAAATCCCATATGTTTAATGGAACGCAAATAATCCAAGTGTTGATGGTTGTGGTCAAACTGCAGATGCCTCAGAAACTATTTCACCAACAAGTGACAAGAATCTAGGATGATGGGATGCTTAGTTTCAAAACTGATTTTGACTAAGCGTTGAATACTTCCCGTGGAACGAATGATGCCACCGGGGCCGATAAACGGTGAAAAACCTGCAATGCGACTAGACCCTTTTAGGGGTTTGCCAGATTGAAGTTGTTTGAACGCAACCGGTAATAAATCGGATTGAGCCAATAGTAACAATTTATCTTTCGCAATTGCTAATTCGGCCGGATCGGTGATTTGAGCGGTAGGCCCGCGGAAGTCCTTGTGTTTCGGCAATAACCTCAACCTGAGGAGGCAGGGAAGAGTTACGCTTTGCTTATCCCGGGTCGCGGCATCAAAATTGTGCTGATGAAAAGTTGGGGATAAGCGTAACAATGTATTTCCGAATAACTATCACATCTAAACCGGGGAACTTCCAAAATCTGGCCTTTAAACGGCTCGAAAGGCAATAAGTTTACTTTTGGACAATGTTTTTTTTAACTCTTTTTCACAGCACTAAATTTTTCAGCGTCTGATGGCGTTCACACTTTGGCGAAACACGGTTTTGACAGACTAAAACCTGTCAATCAAGGTCGGCCAAGGCCGTTTTATGAACTAATTTAAATAGCTAAATAAAACAGAAAAGGTTTTTTGGGGGGTTCGAACCTGGTTACGGAGCGTAAATTTACGTCCCGTCACGTTCCAAGCATATTTGAGTTTTAAAAAGGAAATGCCGTAGTCGGGATTCGAACCTGTGCCGAACCCGCCGAGACGCACTGTGTATACGCTCGGCTAGTCCTTTCTTAATATACAACTATAATTCAAACTTGTTCTTAATTTAATATTTGCTCAGCAACACTCCTCGAGAAAATCCTAGATGCGCCCTTGCTTGTCTTAATTCAAAAGTTAATCACTTAAAGCCGAGTTTATGCTGGAAAAATTCTGAGGTTTTTTGGAGGCTCACTTAAATTTTTGCAGAAAAAAAGGTGTAAAATAGTCTGTTTTACTTTGGTTCATGAGCGACGTAGTGGACCTGTTGCAAACCATGCGCAGTTCTGTTCACGATTTGAGCTGTGGAGCAGTCGTACACACACAGTTCCGGCTTGGACACTCTGGCTATTACAATCACGACGCCAGGCGCCGTCTGATTGGTCGATTGATTGGCCAATGGGGATGCAGTGGTAGTTGAGGACTGGAAGTTAGTGAGGGCGAAAGCACATGTTTTAAGGTGGCACACTTTCTCAACCTTATAAAAATAATGAGAATATATCAATTATCAAAGATCCAAAAACAATATTGACCTGATTGAAGTTTTGAATCCACTCTGTATCCATTCAACTTTTTTCAAAATTATGCCCATATGTCAATCTTAAAAATAGTTTTCACTCTTTTATTGAAAAAGGACATGAATGTCGCATCGACTAAACAAAAGTCAATGTTTTGGTACCTTTCAGTGGTGATCTAATCATAATTTTATTTCACCTGAGGGTTCTCGCCTGCAACTGTCAGCCCGAAGACACCTTCCAAAGACTGCACAGAGAAGTACAACACGTTATTCTTGAAATCAAGTCTCCAGGGAACTGAATGCACTTCAATATTAGCTTGATGATGCCCTAAAAGTGAGTACTGGAGAATCGATTTCCCGTTTTTGAATGCCACGAACAGCCTCTGGTGTTCCTCGTCGTACGCTATGTCGCGAACAACAAGCGATGCTAGATTCGATTTTCGGAAATGTTCGGTTTGTGCGACCTGATTCGGCTGCACGACTTCAGCTCCCAAAGACTCCTCGGGTTCCTCGATGATGGTTTGGATATCAAGCTGGAACTCGGGTTTAATGCTTGGAGGAAACAACTTGTAACTCGCACTGCGAATCGAGTCTTGGAACGATTTCAAATCCTCACTGGCATCAGGATTTGTCCATGTCGTCATCAGGCTGAGCTTCGGTAGTTCGTACTCGAAAGCCGAGAGCACTTCGGTTTCCGAGCTCACGAGTTGCGAGTTATGAGCTATCAGCTCGTGAGCTGTAACAGACTTTGGACTGTGGTGGATTCTGTCAACTTGAAGTCTGAGTTTTTGTGAGCTATTTTGGCACTCTCGAATTTGCATTTCAATTCGATCGAAACTTGATGTCATGTTTTCAAGGTCAGAAAGTAACTGGCGTTCTTGCTCGTCAAGGCAGTTTCGCAGTTGGTCAAATCTTTCCATGACTTTTTCTTTGGCGTCTTCTTGGAACTCGAGACAACTGTTTTTAAAACTGTCCAGTTCATCGGCTCTTATCTAATAGAATAGCAAAGGCAAAGAATATAGTTTTGACTAACAATCATCCGTTTTTTATGAACATGTAACCTTATAAAAATTTAAAAAAACAGCTTGTGAAACTTGAGAACAGTGTTTATGCGATTAAAACTAATTTTTTTTGAACTCAACTTTTTGGTAAAATTACTTTTATGTCAGTTGGACGTCAATTATTTTTGAAAATATAATCTAACCTGAAGTTGTCGTTCCCTCTCGAGTCGGACATTGTTCACGCCTTCAGCCACCCGAACTAACTGGCTCTTGTGCTCCTCGATCGGCCGTAACAAGTGACCCCGATGACTCATCCCCGCAACACACTGTGAGCAACAATCGCAACTGCAGTCGACACAGAAGGAGACCACGAAATCCCGATGCATCTGACATAGTTTGGGTCGCACGGCGCAATTCGAACTATCAGTGAAGGTGTGGAATTTGGTGACCTTGTTGATCAGATGAGCTATTATGCAAGAGTCAATGATGTAACCTGAAGCGCATAACTAAACCTTTTTATGGGTTTAATAGGTCCTAATTTTATTTCCCTTAACTCACAAAAACCATTTTGGATTCAGGTGTTTTTTTTTGTTCACGCAAATTTGGGTAACCCAGACGCAAAGCGTCGTATTATGTCGAGTGATATACCGTATTGAAATACTTCAATTCGCGGTGCAAATTACGGTGGAAAGTTTTCCCGGTGTCGAGAAAAAAGTTAAATTAGTTTATACTCACTGAAAACTGTTGTAAGTGAAAATACTTTTTTCAATTATTTGTTGCACAAGCTGATATAGGGATTTCCCTTCTAATTTAGAGTAAAAGAGATCTCGCCTTTTAAAACAATCTTCCTCCCAAAAGTAGGCTTTCGACATTTGACAGAGATTTTTAGTTAGTGATTGACATGAGATCTGTCTGGATAATATTCCTTTTCAAATGTTTATAAGAAGATTTCACTAACGTACCATCGCATTCCAAGCACCAAAAACAGCTCATCTCTGGAGTCCCAAAAGTCTTCGGATTTCCAAACTCAAAGTCTTCATCGCAGTTTGAACACTTGCGAATGCCTGGCCTCCACCGAGCAGAAGTAGCAGAAAGCCTAATACCCGATCCCCCTGTTACACTTATCCCACTGTCCAAATTAGCCGAAGACACCGCTAAGCCTTCGTTAGTGTGTGGAATATAGCTATTGAACAAAGTGCTACAAGAAGGATTTCGATTAAATGACATGTCGTGTTGGTGAGCGTTCGTAGTTTGGCTGGGGTTGGAACTCGAGCGTGATTGGGCAGAGTTAAAAGCTCGTGCAGTGTTCTCGGCAAAAACCGAGTTGTGAAACGACAGGTTCCGACTTAGTGTCTGATTATGGTGTTCCATGTGTAATAAGTGGTTACTTACTTTTCGGCTTTATGAAAGTTTTAGACTTTTAAAATTTTTTTCTTCATATTTTGCCTTGAAAAGTTAACGAATATGAAATTTGAACAATCTCATTTTGAACTATTAGAATCTCGTGAGTTTTAAACGGTGTAACTTGCTGGTACAGATAAAGGGAGGACAGTTTTGCGTAGTGAGATTAACAATAAAAAAACTTCCAAACCAGCTAAATTGGCTTTTGAAAAAGTTTACATTGTTTGATAAATATTCGCGAATACATGCAAAATTACCTAATGTTATTTATATATATAGTTTATTGTAGTCACTCACTTAGAATGTTTTTGACAAGTGTAGTTTTGAGATGAAAAATCGTTGTGTTTGGATAATTAGTTATAAAGTCATAAGTAGTTTTTAAGAGTAATATTGAAATGAACGTACTACTGTTTTTCACACCATATCAGCCGAGCATGACGCTCATACGAAGATACTTTCAATCATTCAAACTAATTGATTAATTTTTTAGAGAATAAATTGTAGAAAGCCTTGAAAAATTTTAGCTTGGATTTAATTTTTTCTTCATCATTTTAGTAAAATCTTGAGTCCCAAATTGTAAAGGCCAACCAAAATCTCTTCAAAATAGTTGCCAGGCTCCCGCGGTACGTGAAAATTAGCTTACGTTTATTTTTAATAAAGCTCATTGCAATGAATTATCAATTTGAATCAATGTGCTCATATTTCGGTGCAAAATAAAGGAATAGAAAAGAAAATAAGAAAAGTTTCTTTCTTTCAAGTTTCTGTTTAAAATAGTTTATTTTAGCCAAGGACTACGATACGGTAAATTCTCGACATCTTAGATTAAAAGTCGGCGAGACTAAAAAACGTCGACCAATTTCAATCGGTGTCGGCAAATCGACTGCAAATTTTGTTCGAGTCACAGAGTTGACAACTGACATGGTTGACCTATCAAGTTTGACGTAAATAAAGACCAACGGTTTTATAGAACAACTCATGCAATATAGAACAACTCATGCATTCGGCACGTAAATCGATCACCGTAATCCGAGTAAAGCTATGATTTAACTTATCCGGACAAAATGAAACAAAAAAAAAAACAATTTTTAAACGCGTTTTTTTTCAAGTTGGGCTGACCTTAGACAAAAAATGACAAGAACCAACGTTGCTCAGACTCTTACAGTAAATATTACGAGCAATTTTTTTCAAACAAATTTCGGGGTCAAAATTCACACCAAAAATGGGTTACTTTGGCTTCTTTTAGTCAATCAAAAATTACGCTAAACCTAACAAAAAGTATTTTTTGGCTTTCAACTAACATTATATTCGTTTCGACAGATTTCTGGTGAAACACTGACTTTTATGCCAAAATAAGAAAAAAAAATCGAGAAGTCGATGACACCATTTTAGCAAAATGTATGAATGTGCAATAGGGCGTCAAGTCGTAACAGGCATCAATTCGTTAAAAATTACAATACTCAACAAGCAACAAATCGTAACAAGGCATTGACCAGTAGCATACGCTTGCTCAGCTGCCATTACACCCGGCTTGAGAGAAATTTTGCTCGTGAATCAGTGTTGCCAGTTCAATTTACTGTTACGAAATATGACTTGTTATCCATTGTCATCTGTTATAAATTGTCGCATTTAACAAATTGTTCCATCTTGGGAATTACCATGACTAGAATTTTCATAGAATTAAATTGTAGAATTGAAGGAATAGCATTTTTAGTCTATGGAGGTCAACCCGGTGGGCTAGACTTTTAAAAATCAAATTGGTTGTTACAATCAAGTTTGAATGCGTTAGTTACAATCATAGTTTAGCTAGCAAACTACCATGTTTTAAATATCATGAAAACATTTGTTCCAACAATCGAAACCTACTGAGTCAATAGATAAAAAAATATTACTTTTTCAAAAAATTCAAGGTATTTTGAAGGGAGAAAATTTTGTTCTTGGATTTGCTGGTTTTTGAAAACATTCCAATTTTAGTCAACCTCCTCAAGCGCAAGCGTCATTTTAAGGTTGTTTTTTTGCTGGAAAATCTGCCTTCCGAAGTTCAAATTAAAAAAATTACGTCGACAATTTTTATAATTTAAAACATTTTGAAATCTGTGGCATCCCCCCTCTTTTTTAAAATAACAATAACATTAGTTTTAGCAAATTGTTTTTCATTTTTAACAGGCCAAACTGAGTTCCATAAAAAATTAAAATCGCAAGCATTTATGATTCCATTACGAGAAGGAAAGACAGTCCAAATAGCAGTCTGGAGTTTTTCAAGTCAAGTTTTAACACGTTACAATCTTTTTCATCCGGCAAACTAGCATGATACAGCAACCATGATAACATTTTTTTTCAATACTTAAAGCTGACTAAGTCAAAAGATTTAAAAAAAAGTTTTTCAAAAAATTTGCCGTTTTTTGAAAGTAGAAAAATTTCTTCCTGGATCCGCTTTTTTTGAAAACAATACATTTTTATTCGACTTGAGTAGGGGGGGGGGGGTAAAGTCATAAAGCTGCTACTTTAGAGAGGTCTTTTTGGACAACCATGAGAGGTTGTTTTGTTCATTACTCTTCAAAGCCCAAATATACCAATCAAAGTCCAAATAGGGTGGAAACTTGGATACGCACTGCCAGTGAAAACTAAATACGAGATAATTGAAAACATTTGGAAACATGAGGCTCATGATTGTCCAAATCATAAAGACACAAATTAAAGATAACAAGAATTTTGTCAAGAAAAATCACTTCACGCAAGTCAGAGTTAGATGATGGACTCGCAAGCTGATCGAACTTCCGAGAAAGACCAACACGACCCGTTCATGGATGATAGCTCTGGACCAGATCAAAGAACGAGAAGACAGCCTGAAGCGCCTGGAAAGGGGCAATGCAAAGAAATAAAGGAGTTGGGCCAAGCAACAGAAAGGGGCAGAGGAGTCAGCTAACCGGAAACTGGAAGAAACTTCTGCAAGAATTGTTCGAAACTGAAATAAGAACTTCTTCCTCCGCGAAATTCTTGATCACATCACATGACATGATGATAAAGGGAGACAAGGGTCTGAAAATTTGCAACATGTTAGCCTTGCCTATAGGTCGCGATGATTCCGGGTTGAGTCTAGCAAAGAGAAAAGGTGCGATGTGTTTTTTGGGCTGGATAAATTCGGTAATTCCTGATCTCGTAATCATGGCATGTCACCAGAACACTATGAAGCGGAAAGCCTCAGTAATACGAGTCTCAAGCATTTTCTTGAACATATACCAGAGTGTGGTGGTCGAACGGGACGATCATTCGAGAGAATCTCTATAGAACCATTTGAAGAACGATGAGATCAGAAGTTTTTCTTACAAGAAGTTTAATAGCAGTCATGATGTTCCTCGCCTGTTTATGAGAGCCGAAGACTACTCAAAACCATCGAGTGGAGGGGAGTAGCAAAACGTATAAGGCATCATGGTAGTCTCCTACAACCTGTTCTTGGATGCTGAGGGAGGTGAAGCATACATGAAGTTCGACGACATCGAACTATTAATCTTTTGGACGGATAAGGTGATAGAAATAGATGTCCTGGATAGAGAGAAGCCCGAACTACGGTTGCTTCTTGAGAAAGGATCCAAGATCATCTTTGTACCTCGATCAGAAAAGAGGATGGAAGCAAGACTTGGTGGTGAAAAGAACGAATTGGTCACGAACCTTGGCTTTGTATGGAAACTTCGATGACCGCATCCACGAGCGAGGTTGAATTGTTGAAACACCGAAAAAGTCCGAGAGTTGCTCGTAAGGGACGAAGGTCTTGGGGAGTTGATTGTACTACACAAGCTGATGCTGAGGCACCAGACAGCATTGGAAGACAAGTGGGAGAAATCAAAAACTGAACGGAGCCAGGCTCTTGCTTGGATCTGGAACCAAGTTAACGACTTAAATGTAAAGGGAACTCCTGTGTGCGAATCCAGTCGTTTCAGAAAAAGGATGTGTTTGCGTGATCCTAGTGACTTCACAGAAAGGGACAAGAATGACATACAGATACTGGCGGCTTGATACGCCAGCACGACTGTGAACCTAGCTACCTCGCTCGGATGCTTCGCATGAAGGAGCAGTCTAGAATCGCTATAACTATTTGAGACCAGACATATCACATTGTCACTGCGATCAAGATGGACACGTAGCCTGGAGGTCTCCAAATGAATCAGAAACAAATCAAAAGATTGGAAAGTGGGCCTTGAGGCTGAAATGACATACCCGTGATTGAAACATATGGGCTGCGGGAGTAGCAAAACGTATAAGGCATCATGGTAGTCTCCTACAACCTGTTCTTGGATGCTGAGGGAGGTGAAGCATACATGAAGTTCGACGACATCGAACTATTAATCTTTTGGACGGATAAGGTGATAGAAATAGATGTCCTGGATAGAGAGAAGCCCGAACTACGGTTGCTTCTTGAGAAAGGATCCAAGATCATCTTTGTACCTCGATCAGAAAAGAGGATGGAAGCAAGACTTGGTGGTGAAAAGAACGAATTGGTCACGAACCTTGGCTTTGTATGGAAACTTCGATGACCGCATCCACGAGCGAGGTTGAATTGTTGAAACACCGAAAAAGTCCGAGAGTTGCTCGTAAGGGACGAAGGTCTTGGGGAGTTGATTGTACTACACAAGCTGATGCTGAGGCACCAGACAGCATTGGAAGACAAGTGGGAGAAATCAAAAACTGAACGGAGCCAGGCTCTTGCTTGGATCTGGAACCAAGTTAACGACTTAAATGTAAAGGGAACTCCTGTGTGCGAATCCAGTCGTTTCAGAAAAAGGATGTGTTTGCGTGATCCTAGTGACTTCACAGAAAGGGACAAGAATGACATACAGATACTGGCGGCTTGATACGCCAGCACGACTGTGAACCTAGCTACCTCGCTCGGATGCTTCGCATGAAGGAGCAGTCTAGAATCGCTATAACTATTTGAGACCAGACATATCACATTGTCACTGCGATCAAGATGGACACGTAGCCTGGAGGTCTCCAAATGAATCAGAAACAAATCAAAAGATTGGAAAGTGGGCCTTGAGGCTGAAATGACATACCCGTGATTGAAACATATGGGCTGCGGGAGTAGCAAAACGTATAAGGCATCATGGTAGTCTCCTACAACCTGTTCTTGGATGCTGAGGGAGGTGAAGCATACATGAAGTTCGACGACATCGAACTATTAATCTTTTGGACGGATAAGGTGATAGAAATAGATGTCCTGGATAGAGAGAAGCCCGAACTACGGTTGCTTCTTGAGAAAGGATCCAAGATCATCTTTGTACCTCGATCAGAAAAGAGGATGGAAGCAAGACTTGGTGGTGAAAA